CGAAAGGGTTATCAAGCACTGGAACAGGCTGCCCAGGGAAGTGGTTGAGTCACCATCCCTGGAGGTATTTAAAAGACTTGTAGACATGGTGCTTAGGGACATGGTTTAGTGGTGGACTTGGCAGTGTTAGGTTTATGGTTGGACTCAATGATCTTAAAGGTCTTTTCCAACCTAAATTGTTCTATGATTATATGAGTTTTTCCTAAACATTGTGGGGACCTTGCAGTATTTGTTGCCATTCAGGCCATCACTGAAAGGGTCCTGTACTTAAAAGTGAACTAGAAAAAAAGGACCTGCCCTGTCAAGACAGGGTAGGGAGGACAAGGATTTATTTTTTTACATTTTAAGATAATCTCCTTTTCTTTTCTTTTCTTCTGTTCTGCCTCATTCTCTGTTTTTAAAAATACTTTATTCCTGTTTATGTTCTGCTAGAACTGGCTTTGAGTTTAAAAGCTCTGTTGGTGGTTTTGATATGCTAGCTATAAAGAAAAGATCCGAAGGGTCCTACCTCAAAGCTGTTGCTGTCTTGGGATCCCATTTAGGCTTTCTGGTTTTAGAAACCTTACTAAGAGTTTTTAGGCTTAAATAAAATGAAGACCCCTTGTCACTATAATTGACACTTACGAGTAAAACTCAGTATCTATCTATCTAGATGGAATCACACCCAGTTGAATTCAGTCTTGAATTAGAATTAGGTCTTCAAATTAATGTAAAGTATAACTGAGAGATATAGAAAAACAAGTGTGTGTACAAAAAAAAACCCAACCAAAAAACCAAAAAAACCCCAACGTGAAATTATTGTAGATTTTAAATTAAAATAGACCTTCACTAAAATTTTTTAAGATCCAGTTTTGAGTCTGATTAAGAATTTTAATACAGAAATCAAATTATTATATTTGAATCAAGTACTGTAAGTCTTGCTTTCTTCTTAGACATGAATATTCAGTGGACACCAGGAGACCATACTTTCATTTATGCTCAGGTCTCTAAAGTTAGTTTAGAATTTTGCAGACTACATAATTTTAACAAATCTAGTTCACTGTCAATCAGAGGTAATAATCCTAAATGTTGTTGGCATGGAACACTTTTTACTAAGCATCTTTATGAAGCATATTAGAGGGATTTGAAGTCCATTGGGTTTTCTTCCTGGTTTCTGCTATTTGGAGCCTTGTCAATATTCAAAGTTGCACACCCACAGCAGTTTCATATACTGAAAATAAAAGAAGTTAGGATGTCTCCCAAATAAGGAAGAAACTGCCACCCCTTCTCCTGTGATGGTATTGTACTGCTGAAAATGTCAGAGTTGAGTGTTATAGAAGCCTTGCAGCCTTCTGGAACCTGGCAGAGTTCCCTTTGGAAAATTGTGACTGTCCTGGCTGAGTGCTTTTACTTCATCAGTCTTCAGATAAAGGAAGGGTCTCATCGGAGGCACATGTTTTCCATCAGTTTTACTCGTACGCTTCTTTCTATAAAGGGAAGAGGCATAAAGTGTTTGGCTTAGGTCTTTACATTCAGTGTGCAGACAATTGCAGGTGATCGACAGTACCACTAAATCATCTTCCCAAATTGGGGATTGTGGCCTCTCAGCAATTCTAGTCATTAGAATTTCTAAAAAAAAAAAAAAAAAAAGGGAGAGGAGGCTGGGGTGATACCAGAGAATCAATATATACTTGTATTTTTTTTAAGCATTGGCATTCAACAGTTCTGAAAATATGATAAGCCTAACAGTGACAAGGGAATATTAAAATTTTAAGTACCAAGGAAGGAAAAGCCAATCTTCCCTCATCCCACCAAGAGAAGATGGAACTCCTTCTTTTAGCCTAAAAACCTGATTATTCTGTTATGAAGTCATTCTGTGTTGTTATAAGTTAAATTTTTGTAGATGGATATACAAGATGTGTCTTGCTTTATGTGCTGCTCCCCTGGAAAGCATAAAAATGAATGTTTAAAAAAAGTTTCTTGGTAATTTTGAGTAGAGTATATATGTTAGTTAGGTGTTATGGTGTAATTCCAACTGGAAAATTACATTCCCAGCCCAACATTAAAAAAAAAAAAGAAAAAAAAAAGTAGTTGCAGCATTTTTATTTGGATCTAGTTACTATTTATCCTTTACCCTAATTTTGCAGTGTGATTAACTTAATGTTAAAACTTCGTATTTTTTACTCACAAGCAAAAAAAAAAAAAAAAATCAAACTTGCAAGTTTTTCACCTATGGGTCCTATAGATGGCTAATACTACTATAACTCTTGCATTTAAAGGAAAAAATGCTTGCATTTTTTCCAGTTACTTCATGCACTTTTCTACTACTGCAGTTGTAGAAGATGTTACAGCTAATGATAATACTAAACTAATGGAAGAACAGACGTGTTGGAAACCACAATTTTACATCACTGTTCATTTACTTTTTTAAATACACTTAGTATCCCAGAGACTCCACATTTAAGCAATTGTTCAGCTGCTTGCAGCTAGCAAATTAAACAGCTCTATATTGTTATATTGTCTTATTCCATTACTGAATATATTACTACAAGATAATACATTCTGGTCTTTTCTTTTTTTACTCTTTCCCAGTGAAAAGGCAGAGCCTGAAAGTTCAGATCAATGCAACAGATGACACCGTTTGCATGAGGTATCTTCGACCAAGTCAAAACACCAAACTAGAAGGTTTTGTCCTGGGTTATGGAAGCAACTTCTTTTCTAATCAGTACATTCCTTTACCTTCGGAAGGAAAAACCTACATAACAGAACTGGGTAAGGCATATTTGCTTTGCATGCTACTGTTGTCATGAATTGTGGCAAGAGAACAAGGAGTATATGAACCTCTGGGTTTCTTATGTTTTATTTTATTAGGTTGTTGCTCAGGGTTTCTTTGTGTTTATTTAAGGTTGCCTTTGAAGAATTTCAGATGAATGTGGAATTAGGAGATCCTCCAAGGAGAACAAATAGTTCTTGTTGTTTGGAAGAGTTTGCTACTGGTATTTGTTTTGAGGATTTTCATTGTACTAAGATTGTACTATTTGACCACATCACAGATCAAATGGGATGATTTGCCTGAAGTTGCAGTTATAAAGTAGAATACAAGGGAGATGGGCATGTTTTTAACAAATAGTACAAGAAGCAGTGAAACAGTTTTGAGAACTGTGTGGTTGATTCCATTTGGTAGAAACATTTATATCAAAATGATGCCTTTTCTGGCAGGGGCCTGTTCCAGTTCTACATGTTATAGAATAACCTATAACTTCTTTGTCAGAAGTTACGGATGGAATTCCGTGAGCTGTTTCATGGAAAAGATTAAACCACATCGAGAATGTTAGAATCTGTTGCCTGGGATAGGGAGGAAGAAGGGAATTTGGTTTTTCATTTCACTTAGGGTTTTGTCAGTATGGGCAGGATAGCAAAATAGTAGAACTGGATTAGTTAGAATTGTCTGATAAATGATTAAAACATTGACTTATCAGGATTTGACCTTTTAAGAAATCTGTTCAATCTCTGAGCATTTTCCTGTTGCTTTCTTTAATCTTTTCTAGCCTGAAATGAATGGGGGTTACCCTCATCATTGTAATGCCAGTGATCTTGGTGTAAAACAAGGGGAAAGAAAGGCCGCATAAGGATAGAAGTAACAATTGCCATCTTTTTGATGTGGTCAATTAAGGCAATTCTGGGGGTTTGCTCCAGGCTGAAAACTGCAGAATAAAAGAGAAAAAATAAGATGTTAGATACAGAATAATTAAGATATTGGAGACTTTAATTAGATTGCTGTGGCAAAGGTTGACTTCTTCCTTTTCGTGAGTTGGTATGCCTGGGATCTCTCCGTAATTCTATCACCAATCCAGTGTTTGAGTTCATAACCATCACTTAAGCTGTGTCTGATTTATGTGATTTATCCCATGTGTAACTTTTGAATCAACTCAGTAAGAATGGTGTACAGGATTTTTTGTAGAATACTGTGAATTGGGCATAAGTAATACCTGTGTAGCTGTATTGCAGGAGTAGTGAGGATTAATATTTTTCAGGTACTCTGAGATCCTTGGAAAGAGGAAAAAGCACTGAATGTGATGTTATGTGTAGATCATCCTTCCTTTTTAAGAGCAGCTTTAATACCTAATGCTTTGTGAAACTGTATGAAACAGAAAGCTGAACATCATTTGGAATATATGGGATTTGGGTATTTTGTAACTTTAATGTTAATAGCTAATGGCTGGAAACTGTGGACACCTGCCTTTAGTTCTGCAGTGCATCAGAGTGCTAGCCACATGCATATTCATTAAAGCTTACCATTAAGCAATCAAAATCTTGTAGCAATGAACACAGAAGGTGAGAAACCCCATGATACATATAGCCTGTAATGAACACATTTTCTCTAGTGTATCTGGCGAGGGAAAAGCACAAGTGTTGGGGAATACTCTCCTTTTCCTTTATAATTATTTTAAAGGAGAAAAACTTCAAAGTCTTAACTCACTCATGCCAATAAAAGTTGTCAATCAATTTCCTAGTGACAATGAATCTATGAATGTGATTTCTGAGTGTCCAGTTAACTAAAAATGCAATGTGCAACATAATATAAAGGCTAGCATTTCCAACTTTAAGAAAACGTCATCTTTGAAAGGACAGGAATAAAAGCTAACAGTAATATGTACTTCAAGTTGCAAGCATTTATTTAAGGCAATTAACAGTACATTTATTGGAGCTATTGCTTTTAGTTAAGATATTTAGGGTTAGATTATATACTTTGTGGACTTGTTTATTGGAGTTTGGAAGCAGAGAGTACATCATCTTGCCCATTTCGTTAGTATTAAACATCACATCAAACTGCAGCTTTGACTGCGCTTTCCAAGTGCGTGCAGAACACGGCTAAAGGAAGAAACATCAATTGTGCTTTTGGCTCTATTTTAGAGTGACTTGTGTGGCAGAGGTGAAGAGAAGACGGTGGTGATTGCTAGCACCCCCCCCAGACCGGCTGCTGGCACGAACTGGAGGAATTGCAGGATGTTTCTTAGTTTTAGGAGCAATGGGTAGGTTTTATTCTGGCAGCCGGAAAACTCAGCTCAGCACACACTTTACGTGGATGTTAGAAAAAATAAGGTATTGTAGAGGGACAGTAAAAATACTCTCAAGATACTTTCCAAAGATACAAAGCCCCTAGACCCTATTGCTGAAAAATCTTAACATTATCTTTGTACTCCTAGTACATCTCCTATGTAAGGAAGTTGGCCTAGTATGCTATCTTCATATTAAAAAAAAAAAATAAATTAAAATTTCACACTAAAATTTGTCAATTTTGTATTCTAGATATTCTAGCGATTCAGGTGCCACTGTACACTTTGCAAAAGGTCTTCAGTGTGTTCCACGCATTATTTCACAATCAGAACAACTAGTTTTATACAGAAACACTCACATTCACTCTGAGAACTCCTTCTTGGTCCTCTCATGCTTTGGCTTATCTGACTTTTACAGAAAGCAGATGAACTTTCAGGCTGTCCTGAAGAGTGGTTGGTTGTGGCTTTTACTGAACAGGATGTGGAAGAAAAGACATTGAGGCCTGTTTAGACCAAGACTAATACAATTTAATGCTTCCTCCTCTCCTGTCAGTTTTAGTGGTTCATGGAAAGAGAATACCTTTCCCAATCAATTTAGGGATACTTTGATCACAACCTTGAATTGTTTTGGTATCTGAACTGTAACAATTAGAAATGGAGATTTAAAGGCACATGTTAGTTACTAAAAGGTATGTTTTCTCAATGGATTAAGGAACATTGCTTTAGAATATAATCTCTTGAGAGAGTGAGTAGATCCAGGAGAATGGAATCTCTGTATCTAGACAAAAGTGGATCTTGTCCTAGTAGTATTAAAATTGTCTATTCCATGAAGCTTTGTAAGTGAAAATCGTACAGATATGCAATCAACTGTAGATCCTACTCAAAGAAAAAAAATTATTTCATTAATTTAGTAGTTAGGCCAATGTAAGAAAGCATACAGACTTTGCATATAAATCAGTCATGATTCCCTCCCTAAAATGCATCAATCCTTTAAAATGTCCTTTGTCTTTTCTAACAAACAGTATAGGGCTACACAGCAGAATGAAGTGCTTGCAGACATTTCCTTGATTTAGCTCTGCATGCCTGGTTTTGTTAATGGAGCAGCATAATCTGTATTCTGTTTGGGATAGTTGTCTCCGATTGGAACTGGAGTACAGGGAACGAAGCAAGAACTTATATATATTGCTGTCTATATTGTGTCATCTATTAAAAAAATACCGAAGGCCAATGACTTCCATAGTTCCAACCCTGTCACTGTTGATTAAGATGAAATTTATTGTCAGGTTTTCTGCTGGGTCACACACGTCTTATGACCCTGTTCACAATAAACTTGAAGTCAGCAGATTTATTATTTTATGAAATTACATGTGTGTACGTGCATATATTTTAAAAGAAATTAATAAGGATGTGATCTTTTCTAGGATTTCCAGGAGACATATATGGCTTCGTACAACAAATGTACAAATGCATTCCCTACGTTTCATCCATTAAAATATTCAGCACCTCACTGCAGTAATTCTTATCTTAAAATATTTATTTTTCCTTTCTTTTGCAACTAAAATAATAACCAAGCCAGCAATTGCGCAACGTTATCCATGTATTGAGAACTGCCTGCAGAGGGCAAGTACAAAGAGAAGAGGGTTCTATTGGATTTCCTGAACTTGTAGTGAGCTTGTGCCAGCAGCAAACTCTTGGGCAGCGTCATGCATTGCTATATAGATGAATTTGTATCACAGTGAAGGGTAAGTGACAATGATGAGGCAGCATCAAAGTTTGGTTCAAAGAAGTATGCCTCTTTATCAGAATACAAGACGTGTTTTGTGCGGAGTGTACTTCATGAGCTTACATGACAGCAACGTTACTATTGGTTATGGAAGCTCTTCAGACTGTGTCAAAAGATATCAAAATGTAAATTCAGCTAGACTAATAAATAAGTTGAACAGACCCATTCAAAAGTTATGAGCTTGATTTAAACTTTTATGTAAATCTGTTCAGTGTGCATGACTCATAAAGAAAGAGTATTTCCTTGAGAAATTTGTGCTAGTTTTTTCCAGTTTGGTTAGGAAGATTGCAAGTCAGCCTCCTTGAGTTTGTTGATACTGTTGGAGGAACCCAAAAAATTGAGTGGAGACAGGAAAAGTTTGTAAGAATTAACAGCAATTTGCTAACAGAGTGAGGAAAATTAATTTCCTTTTCAGTTTCTGAAATCAGCTTAGATTTGGGCCATCCTTTGGCCTTTCCTTTACCTGAGGCAGATTGTACAGTGTAAGAGGAGAATGTATTGGCAGTCCTGCTTTATAACAACCATAATAAGTGATGGGTGAATTTTGCATATATACATAGGGAAGAATTCTAGTATCACCTTGAACACATTTTTAAAATTATAATTCAGGGATGTGTGCTAGAGTAGTCCTTAGCTAAAAGATCTTGCTGTGCAGTTTCTTATATATAATCAATTCCAAAAAACCAGATTCTTCATTGCTAATGTTAGCTGAGCCTAGTGGACTGGATGACCTGGAGGAGGTCAGCAGCTGCACCTTCATTTAGACAAGTGTTCTGACCAGCAGCAGGTTCATTCACACCAGCCTCTTTGTCCCCCTTCTCTTATCTTTTCCCATTCTTGTTACACCACGATACTTTTGATCCTTCCCTTTCTCCACCTTTGGCCTTTGCCCTTAACAGCATCCAGTAGTACATCTTTAGCAATCTCTAAAT